CCTCAAGCTCCTTGAAAGGCACATCCAATTTATTATCGTTTATAAATGTAAAATTTGATAAACTGGGTACTTGACCTCCAACATTTAAATGTGCATGTAAAAGCCTGAAATTTTCAGCGGATTCGCGAACATCAGTTTTAATATCGGAAATGCCAGATAAAATCGCATCTGAAAAAAATAAATATTAAAATAATTTAAAATTCTTTTCTATAAACTGATACAATGAATTGAATGAATATTATTGTAACAGTTGATTGTTCATACCATTCTGCTTTTTGATTCTTGTTAAAATATTATTGTCCTCCCTGTACGAATAAGGTATGCTGCTTGGCAAAGTTTGATGCTTCGGCAATTGTGGTGCCGCTAAAAACATGCAAAATTAATTAAATAAAATAAAAAATAATTACAAATAGTAATAATTGAATACTGATAAAGTAAGTAATAAGTAACCAGAGTGTCTAGTAATTTAGAAATATAAAATTCCCGGGTTTTTTCCAGTTTTTTCTCGGTATGTAAATAATTTTCCCGGATAATTGAAAACTAAAATGTTACTTTATAAATAATCAAATTTTTCTCCGAAATTCAATTATTTTCAAAAATTTTAATAAAATTGTTGGTAGAATTTCAATTATTTGCAAAAATTTTAATAAAATCGTTGGTAGAATTTCAATTATTTTCAAAAATTTTAATAAAATCGTTGGTAGAATTTCAATTATTTTTAATACTATTTTCATCAAATTTCTCGAAAAAAGAAATTAAAAAAAAATTATTTAATTTTGTGAAGAGAATTATTTATTTAATAAATTGTTTATTTTTGTATTTAAATAATTGAATTCTCGTAGAATTTTCTAATAAATATTTAAAAATGAATTTCAGTTAAAATTTTAGATTATAATTGAATATTGAAAGCATATCGTAAATTTTTAGAGATTATTGAATTTTGAAAAGATTTCGAATTAAAATCTTTGAAAACTTGAACTTTTCATACTTTTAATTAAGAATTCTGCGGAATTAATTTTTTTTTAAAGTTTAATTGAATTTTTTGTAAATATTTGAAGTTTTAAATTTCTTATAGGTATATTTAATTGAAGAATGTCAGAGTAATCGAAATTTCGTAAAATTAAATTGTAAACAAAAGGATTTGAAAATTCTCAAAAAACTTTTTAAAAAATTATTAAAAAACAATTGACTTAAAGAAGAATTTTAGTTGAAAATTGTAGAAATGAATAATCGAAATGATGAAAATAATTTTTGAAGAAGTTACAGTAACAAAGTAGCAAGTTTTAATTATTATAAAACATGAAGAAAGCGATAACTCCGAGTCGAAGTAATTTTATGTTTAAAACCAAAAACAGGTGTTAAGCGTTGAAAAAATGTAACTATTTTTTGCAACAACATAATAATGTACTTAATAAAAAAAATTCCCGGATTTAAAAAAAAATTCCCGGTTTCTCCCGGTTCGCTAGACACCCTGGTAACACTCAATGAAATTCTTTTAGAATATAACAATAAATAAAACAGAATGCTAATTTTATCTAGATTTTTCACTCTTACCATTAGTAGTTTTTTTAATATTATTCAAATTCTTGTTTTGAGAAAGTTTTGAAGATATCGAGTTTTGTTGTCCTCTCGATTCCAATGCTGTGAAAATATGTTTTCAAAGAATGTAATTCTAGTTTTATAGGATAAATAAAAAGCTAAGAAATTATAATAGTTTCAGAAGGTTCGACAAATACTGTTTTTAAAAAGCAAAAAATTACAATTAATTTTCTAATTTAAAATTTAGGACATATTTTTAACTGAATGTTAATAATAATGATAATAAAAATAATAATGAATTAAAGAAAGAGTAATAGCTTTGATAAAAGTAGCAAATGTGTTAAATGATAAATATTGATGATTTTTACTTATTAACTACTTTTTAAGAAACTTTAAAGCATTATTAACAGACGTTACAAAATATTAATAATTGGCAAACAATCAAAGAGTTAAATAATATATTAGAAGTAGTGGAGAATTTATTTATTTTTTTATTCATATTGTGAATTTGTAACAAAATCTATAAAAAAATTTCTTTCATTTTTTTCTTTAGTTTAAATTAAACTCTATTAATGTAAATAATAATAAAAATGTCAATAAAAATAATAACAATTCAAAAATTGTCTAACAATTTTTATAATATTGATCGAACTTTACTTTACTTTCATTTTACAAGATTTATGAAATTTGAATTGAATAATAATTATGATAATAATATGATAGTAATAATAATCAATAGACAAAAAAATTACATCAGAAATACTTATTTTTGAATATTTTTCACTTAGGATTCGCTTTAGTATAAAATTTATTTTTTCTAACCCTATGAATCCAGATTGTACATAATATTTAATTTACACTCACCAGTTATATTGCCGCGTGATGTACTTGGATAATATTGAGTATTCAATCCTGACGTTTGACGAAAGTGGACATCCTCGAAATCAGAACTATTATCTGAATCAATAATTTCCCGAGTTTTAGATCTTTTCTCTGGAATAGGGTCAGCCAAACTAGGAACTTCCAGTGCTCTTTTTTTCGTAGTCGAATCCGAATCAATAATTTCCTGAGTTTTAGATCTTTTCTTGGGAATAGGGTCTGCCAAACTAGGAACTTCCAGTGCTCTTTTTTTTGTAGTCGAATCCGAATCAATAATTTCCTGAGTTTTAGATCTTTTCTCGGGAATAGGGTCAGCCAAACTAGGAACTACCAGTGCACTTTTTGTTTTAGTCGAAATTTTAGTTTGCTTAGAACGAATGCGTCTAGTTATTTCTATAGATTTTTCTTCACCAGCACTGTCAACTCCTGTAGTATAAGCAAATTTTTCTGTTTCTAAAACTCTTAACTTCTGAAGAGCTTCTTCATAGGTTGCTGGAAAAATTTAACCATTATTAGAAATAGTCAATTATTGTACAAATAAAATAAACAAACACACTCTCACATTAAAAAAATTACTCAATATTTAAAAAAATTAATTATTTACCTGCATGACCTTTCAAGGTGATTGGATAAGCTGGCCAATCTGCAGGTGCTGGTGCATCAGCCTTCAATAAATCAGTCAATAATCTATGATTTTCATTAGTATATGGTGGTGGCATAAATTGGCACAGAAGCTCATTTTCTTCATCGTCGAAGAAAATCCAATCCTTGCATGCGAAGTCGATATCCTTAACACTATTTACACTGTTTTTATCAGGATATATGAATTCAAAAAGCAAGTATTTTTTGATTATTTTCCCTTTTCTCGGTGTCATTTTTCAATTCTACAAATAATAACATTTATTTTCAGTTAATTCATAAACTACGAAGTAAATGAATTAGAAAACATTTTTAGTTGTATTTAAAAAAAGTATGATCCTCAAGTTTTGAACGTTCAAATGAACGAAATATTTTTTGTTGAAAATATTTTTATGAATTACTAAACACAAAAAAATTTACAAACTGAAATTTTACGTTTAGAAACTTAATAATTAATTTTATTGGATAGAGACGCAAAATAATTGCAATAAAAATTTAATTTATTGAGGAAATAAATAAATTTCGTTCATTTGAACGTTCAGAACTTTATGATCTTAAAAATTCAACAATTCTAACCTCAATGAGTTTTAGTTTTCAAACTACAATTATGGGCCTATTAATATACTTTTCGTATGAATATTTACACTTGTCTTCTCTTAAAGAAAACCCGATCACTTTAATAATAATGAATTTTATATTGATATTTATAAATTGCAATCTATTTTCGTTAATCGTCGTTTCACAGAAATGATGCACACGTAAAAAAATAAATATGGCTGACGCTTGGATAGAGAAACACTTAAAACAAAGACTGAGTTGGATTTAAGGCATGGAACAGAAATAACAGCCAATCACATTAGTAGACAAGCGCATGAGCAGTTCAATATTTTCAAATTCTTAGCATCAGTTTTAATAAATAAAGGAACACGTGATATGGCGCTTAGATTCAAATTTATTAAAAATTAAAAAGTTTGAATTTTTATTTTTTAAAGTTAAAGGTGCTTTTACTGTTCAGAACAATGATGAGAAATAAAAACAAGTTAAAAATTATGTTCATTTTATAGAGAATTTCACTTCCTCATATAGGTAAAATTTAAGAAAAACTTTTAAATCTATCAATTATAATTAACCAATTAATAAAAGGAAAATTAAATATTTAAAAATCAAATAATAATAATTTTACAAATATGTTGCGAAATATGACTTTATATCAATCGAATCGTTTTTCAATTAAAACCTTTTTCGTAAAAGAAGAATGATTTAAAAATGACGATTTTCGAATTTATGGTAAAAAAAATAAAAGTATTTTTAAATGATATAAAAAATGGAAAATTGACATTTATGTTATAAATTGTTGGTAAAAACTTATTTTATATCGTATAAGTCAAACGATTTGGTATTATTCAGAGAATTTTCTTTACTCTTCACGTTGCTTTTCAAATAGATTTTTTTTAAATATCACACTTTTTAAAGAATATCTGTATTACAAATATTTTGATTTAATATTTCTAAAAAATTGTGTGCTCAACTTTAGATAATATACTAAACATAAAAAATTTTATAAATCGAATTCATTAACTGATTATTGTGTAGGAATGTAACTATTACTCAATAATTTTAACCGCACTTACTCAAAATTACGAATACTAATACATTTTATGAATTACATTTTCGTCGATGTTTTTGTCCCTTGATGCAGTTTATACAATTATTCTTTTAACCATAATTGAAAGTATTTCTTAATTTACTTTAGAGGTTTTAGTTTAGTATAATTCCCTTGTAGATTTTAAATATTTGTTAAATACATTTTTAATAATAATGCAAAATAACAATTTATTATATTTTTAAAAAGAAACCTACAATTCTATGAACCAATATTTATAATTTAAACGCATCAATAATTTATTACAACCGTAAGAAGTGAAAAATACAAATATATCCAGATCGGAAGGCGTGTTTAATATAATATATTTGTATATTTATTTTGCATTATTGAATTCAATGAAGTAAAGGAACAACATACACTTTTTGTGGCCCATTTTCTGTGAATGATAATTGCAGCTTTACAACTTTTTGAGATATTGCTGCAATTGAATAAATTTTAATGTCTCTCATTGGAAGGTGATTCAATTTCCAAATATTAAAAATTTCTGAATTCGTCGGATATGTGTACAATGGTTTATCTTTCCTCCAAATTTGACATTCCACTTTTAAATTTTCATTTTCATTGTCATTGAAAATCTTTTTTATACTCACAATTTTATTGTTATTCAAAACAACAATATTATTAGGAGGTAATGAAGAAATTACCATTTCTTTGTACTTAACTTGTACAATACTACCATCCTTATTTGTTTTTAAAATTGTAATTGGAGGAGGTATTGTTGTTTTATTCTTAGAAACGAGTGTTTGTTCTTCAAATAATCTACGACAAACTTGTTGCAGGGTTTTATTTGGAGTGCGAAGTTTTTTTTTCAATTTTCCAAGAAAATTTTCGAATGAGAAAGCACTTATTAAACTGAGGTTACAGTCTGCAGTTATAACGTCATCGGCAACGTGGGTGAGATGATGTGCATTTAGAATTTGGGACGTAGCTCCATAATAATCTTTCATAGCCGTAAAAAAACTTGTTAAATACAGTTTTGCATGATCATTATAAGTTCGACAAAAAGAATCTGAATGTAAAATCCTGGCAGCAACATGTAACAGAAGAAAATGATCATACAAATTTTGCGGCAAAAGGTCTTTTAAGATTATTGGTCCACAATATAATAAAAAAAAACGCAGTTCCGTAGCTTTCCACTTTGCGAAAAAAGAAGTCGATCTGGTTTTTCGTTGGAATTCAATTGGAATCTGCGTTTTTAGAAATTCTAATCGTCTGGACAATTCAGCTCTGCTTCTGACACTTAATTTGCAATTTAATTTGCCATTCAACCAATAATCCATTAATTTCTTCATGATTCCACAGAAGAAAAGATGCATCGAATCCAACATAAAGATAGACACCATGTCTATGTGAGGAATAATGTCTAATAAAGGTGAAGGTCCATGATGATACTCAGGTTGGCGAAAATTTCTGAACGATTCATTCGTTCTCTCTACTGCATCAGTAGTCGGATAAACTGTTCTTCGTTCAACTCTTTCGCCAACAACTTCACACCTTTCACATGCCTGAATACCCCCATGTCCTAATGTGCGTTTTAAAAAAGATCGAGCAGGTGTATCACAAATTATACATTTTAACTTTATTCCGAAATGTTGCCCTTCTATCATGATACCATCAATATTTAATCGATTAAATTCTTCAACGAATGGAGCTAAGAAATCTTCCACACTATTAGGTTTAGCTTGCCCAAAAAATATGCAAATCGGAAATACTTTGTACACATCAGGGTTGAAGTGAACTTTTCCTGATACTACCCAAAACTGACCATCTCCAGATTTATGTAAGGGTAAGCCATCACAACTGACTTGAAGTTCGATAAAATTATCAATATGTAATGCAGGATTTATGCACATTTCTAAATTATTTTGCATTTTAAAATATACAAATTGACCCATCTTTCCTTTACAGTCTTCCATATTAATTATAGTATACCGAGCATCGTTTGTGTGAAGAAATGTTTTTGCAGTTTTGGGCAGAGTTGGAAGCAGATCTCTCAGAATTTTCAGTAAATCATCAAGATCCTTTTGATTGAGTCGTAGACTCCACTCACGCAATCTTTCTACTACTGAAGGAGGATTTTCCGGTACATGCTCTTCCTCTTCAACGTTTCCTAAATTATCATCGCCAAATTCATCATTGGAAGAATCGTCCGAAGTATCACCATGAACAGCATAATAATACCTCGCTAAGTTGTCGCCGTCATAATCGTCATCATCACTAATAACCTCTTCGCTTTCTACAGAGATTTCCTCCCTTCTCCGGTCATAATCGTCAACATCACTGATAAACTCTTCGTTTTCTACCGAGATTTCTTCCCTTCTCTCTTCGGCTTCGTTATTTTGACTCATTTCTTCGACATCTATAATTATAAAATTATCAATTGAACAAATAATTAAAAATTTTCAATTATTATATATAATTACAAAATCCCAAAATATTAAAGAAAATCATTTATACTTATAACTCACTACTATTATTAAAATTTACTTTTATCTAGAGTTTGTCAGGTTTTGTAATTTCATGTATTTATTTCAGGATATATTTACAGGGTTCTCACAAGTTTCAGTTTATCAATTTCCCCTGACAAAATTCATTCTACAGGAAAATATGAAAGTTTACGAAAGATACGTAAAAAAAATGAAATTTAATAATTTCTAAAAATTACAATTATAACCCTTTTTGAATTCAATTATACACAATGGAAAAGTTTCCAAACAATTGAAATTTTGGTAAAATCTTTTAAAAATAATTGAATTTTTGAGAAATATAAATAAAAATAATCAAATTTTTGAAGAATTTTAATAATAAATATGACCATGATTTTTCAAAAATTTTAATAAGTCTTAAAAAGTAAATTTTCATAAATTTCTATTTACTTTGTCCGAAGAACAAGGAATCTTAAAGAAGTATGAAAAACCAATTCTAAAAATTAGTTTTTAAAAATATTTTAATGTAATTTTTCGAAAATAATTAAATTTTAATTAAAATGTTGATCATGATTTTTTTCTCCAAAATGTTAAAAATTATTGTTATTTGGATGTACTTGAATTTTTAAAAATTCAATTATTTTTAAAATTTGCAATTAAAATTTTTCAATTTTTTAAAATAATTCGAAAAAAGTCTCAGTTTTCTAAATTTCCCTGACAAACAATTTTTCCCTGACTTTACTGACATGTGGCCACCCTGATTTAATAAAATCTACATACCTATTCTAATTACATTTCATTAAATTAAATAAAGTTACATTTTACTTTAAAGAACTATGTATTTTTATTAAAAAAAAAAATTGTTCACTTTTTTTTGAAGTGCATAGAACAAAAATTTAAACACCTCTCAGTCTATAGAAATTATTTATTATCTAAAAGCAAGTCTTCACTTCTAACAAGCAGTCTTAATTTAGTACGTATTATTAAATAATTACCTCTGAAATTGTCCAAGTTTTCATTTTCAGATTGTTCGGACACATACATAACCTCATCATTTCCATCACTATGATTATTGGTCGGCTCACTGGATTCACCCTCTGCTCTGGATTCGTCGCTTAATAATTTCTTTCTCGACCGAAATTTTTTACCTCGTATTCGTCCTTGATTACGAGATCTTTTATTTCCTCTGATATCCATTTTTATATATAAATGCAATAAAAGCAGCTATTCTTTTTATACTGTCAACAACATTGTAGGTATACAAACGTCACTTTCACTTTTAGTAATAAAAAGGCGCATGCGCAAAATCATGTGCACAATCCTTAAAACAGTTTAAGCTAACTAGAACCTGACTAGTTTTCAAGTAGGATAATTTGATGTTCATTTCCAAATCGGGATCCGATTAGGCCCTAAGTAGAATTTATGATCAGAAAGTAACTAGGTAGAATCAAGATTATCTAGATATAAAATAGGGTAAAACTATTCAAAGCCCTACTTGTATCTGATCAGTATTTACTAGTCTAAGTTTTCTGACTAGGATCTAACAAAAGCCCAACTTAAAGTAGGGAGAAATGGGGAAATTTCTACATGGGGAATAATAAGATAATAATAAGAAGAAAACGGTGAAGAAAGCCACAGTAAAACGTGAAGTGTTAAAATAACACCAGAATGAATTAAAATAATCTGCAACAGTTTAATCTCTCTAGGATTAAATTAACACCAGAAAGGATTAAAATAATCTATTTTGGTGTTATTTTTAACTATGAATGAAATTTTACTTTAAATAAAACACCAAAGACAACGATTTGTAAAAATTCAACGAATTTAGCTTCTCCAGGGAGAATAGTAACTTAGTTACTAACTTACTAACTAACTTAGTGACATAGTTACTAAATTCAATTGTGTTCAAAAATTTTTAAAAATTCTCGTCAAAATTTCAATTCTCTTTATAAATAAAAAAATTCTTCTCTGATATTCAATTATTTTACCAAATTTTAATCAAATTCTTGTCAAAATTTCAATTATTTTCAGAAGTTTTCTAAAATTTAATAATTTTCAATATCTACTATTATTTCAATAAAATTTTCCAAACGAATTCCATTATTAAAAAAAATTTGAATAAAATTATACGCGAACATTCAATTATTTTCATAAATAATAAAAATTTTGACAGGAATTCAATTATTTACAAATTTTTTTTATAAATTTCTTCGCAATAATTCAATTATTTTCATAAATAATAACATTTTTACAGGGATTCAATTATTTTTATAAAAAATAAAATTCTTTTAGGAATACAATTATTTTAATAAATAATAAAACTCATTGCAGAATTTAAATTATTTTTAATGCAATTTGAATCGAATTCCTCGAAAAATGTAATTATTCTTAAAAATTTTATTAAAATTCGTCGCAAGAATTTAATGATTTAAAAAATTTGTTGATAACATTTTTTATGAGAATTTAATTTCAAAAAACATTAAATTAATAAATTATTTATTTTTGTATTTTAATAATTGAATTCTCGTAGAATTTACTAATAAAAATGATTTTAAAAATGAATTTCATTTAAAATTTTAGATTATAATTAAATATTAAAAGCATTATAACGTGGATTTTTAGAAATAATTAAATTTTAAAAAAGTTTCAAACTAAATTCATTGAAAATCTTAATAAAATTTTTAAAAAACATTACATTTTTCAAGAAATTCTATTGAAATTGTAATAAAAATAATTAAAATTCTGCGACGAGTCTTATTTATAAAAATAAATTAATTCCTAATCAGAATTTTATAATTTATGAAAATAATTGAATTCGTGAGAAGAATTTTAATATTTACGAAAATAATTAAATTCTTGCGAAGAATTTTATAAAATTTTGTTAAAAAAATGAATTCTCTGAAATGAATTTCTTAAGGGCATTTGAACCATTATGACGTCATAGGTTCTGCAAAGCATGTGTTTTAAGGCTGTGACGTCATCATGGTTCAAATGCCCTTAAAAGTAAATTTTTTTAAGGAGCTTTATTAAAAGTTTTGAAAATAATTAAATTCAATTAAGAAATTTAATTAAAAATGTATTTAAAATCTATTGATTCTAATGTTCAATTATGTCAAATTGAAATTGAAATTGAATTTTAAATCAAATTCTTATTAGAAAATTCTACGAGAATTCAATTATTTAAATAGAGAACAAAAATTAATTGAATATAATTGAATGTTTCTTAAAATTCAATTCTTATAAAGAATTTTATCAACAAATTTTTTAGTAATTGAATTTTTTTGAAGAATTTCAATTAAATTTTTAAGAATAATGACATTTTTATTTATATAAATAAAAATTATTTTTGAAAATTATTGAATTCATAAAAATAATTTTTTCCTATAAACATTTCAGTTAAAATTTTAGATTATAATTAAATATTAAAAGCATAACGTGGATTTTTAAGAAATAATTAAATTTTGAAAAAGTTTCAAACTAAAATCATTGAAATTCTTAATTTTTCATATTTTTGACAAACAATTCTGTAGAATTAATTCTTTTTAAAAGTTTAATAGGATTTTTATTGAAATTATTTTGAGTCTTTATTTTTCAATATATATTTAATTGGAGAATTTCCGAATAATTGAAATTTTTGTAAAATTGAATTGTAAACGAATGAATTTGAAAATTCTTATAAAACTCATCGCAGTGTTTCAATTATTTTTTATACAATTATAATTGAATTCCTTTGAAAAAAGTAATTATGTTCATGCAAGTTTTAATAAAATTCGAAAAAAAATTCAATTACTTAAAAATTTGTTACTAAAATTCTTTATGAGAATTGAATTTTGAGAAAAATTCAATTATTCAATAAATTATTTACTTTTGCATTTAAATAATTAAATTCTTGTAGAATTTTTTAATAAAAATTAATTTTCATTTCATAAAAATTAATTTCAGTTAAAGTTTTAGATAATAATTGAATATTAAAAGCAATATAGCGTGAATTTTTGGAAATAATTGAATTTTGTAATTAATTTTTTGGAAAAAGTTTAATTGAATTTTCCTTTATATTATTTGAAGTTTTTATTTTCTAATATGCATTTAATTAAAGAATTTAGGAATAATTGAAATTTCCTGAAATTGAATATTGTAAATAAATGGATTTGAAAATTTCCAAAGAACTTTTTCGAAAATTCTTAAAAATAATTGATATAAAGTAAAATTGTAGTTAAAATTTTTTGAAAATAATAATTAAATTGAAATAATGAAAATAATTTTGAAGAAGTATAATATTCTTTTAATATAAAATAATGATTTTATTACTTGGTCATCTTTAATTATTATAAAATATGAAAAAATCGATCACTCCGAGTCGAACACTCGGAGTTATCGATATCTTCATGTTTTATAGTTATAAAAAAATTTAATGAACTAAAATTTCATTTATTGTAAAAAATAACATCAAAATTGATTATTTTAATTTTTTTTGTGTTAATTTAATCTGCAACACTTTTTAATACACCTCACGATTTACTGTGTGAGGGAAAGAGTGAAGAAAGAGGGAAGGGGTGAAGAAAGAGGAAAGTAGTGAAGATATATTAAGAATAATAAGATAATAATAATAAGAAGAAAACGGTGAAGAAAGGGGGAGGGAGTGAAGATAGAGGAAAGGGGTGAAGAAAGAGGGAAGTAGTGAAAATAATAATAAAAATAATAAGATAATAATAATAATAAAAATAATAAAAATAATAAAAATAATAATAATAATAATAATAATAATAATAATAATAATAATAATAATAATAATAAAACCGGTGAAAAAGGGGGAGGGAGTGAAGAAAGAGGAAAGTAGTGAAGAAAGAGGGAAGGAATGAAGAAAGAAGAAAGTAGTGAAGAAAGAGCTAAAAAGAAGAAAGAGGGCGAGAAATTAACTCTGTGAGAAAGAGGTGAAGAAAGGTGTGTAATACTAAAGTCGCGGGGTGAAAATGAAAAATCTTCGGTACGACTTTCATTGGATAATTTCGAAGGAGCATCCAAGACAGAATGATTAATGTGCCCGTGGAAACGTCCATTTTCTCCAATCTCAGTGTCGACGGGACTTTTCCCCGAGAAAACTATATCTAACTTAAGTGTCACAAGTTTCCTTATTTGCTTCTCTTCTTCCGGTTCGTTGGTGAGAGAATTAAAATTTTTCTCCATTCACACCAAAGGACATCAATTATCTACTGAAGTGAGTTAAATTTACAGGCAAAAACTCTGCGGTTTATGTTTCTTCGGGGCACAAAAAAAAGGAAAGAGCAGGATAAAACTTTTAAGTGCTTCAACTATATAGGATACATTAATTATCACGTAGAAAGTTGCGAATAGAGAGAAAGAGAGAGGAGAGATACTTTATTCGAAATTTCGTATCTACCAATAAGAAAACTTTTAGCGAATTATTATTTTTACTGAAAATGAAGTAAAATCGTGTGTCGAAGTCGAATTCAATTTGAGAGAAAGAGGTCCTTTTGCAGGAAATGGAAGATTATGTGTTTGTTGTAAAATATATGATTAAGATGAAAAATTGAAGGAAGATGGTAACAGATGGAGGAGCCGGTCGAAGTTACTTATAATATCCATGAGTCGTTTCAACTCCCTTTTCTTCTTCTTCTTTTTCTTCTTTGACTTCTTGGCCCCCGAAGGCATTCGACTGTAGCATACAGTTTGCATTTAAAGATAAATTGCCAAAGTGCAGTGGTGACATAAATCAAAAAATAAACGCAAGCAGATATTACGGAACGCGTCAGAGTTGAGAGGTTATAAATTGTCCAGTTTGTTCATATGATGGGGATTAACTTCTGTCAAAAAAAATTTGCTTTCTAAAGGCAAAAAAGTAAAAGAGTTACTTCAATATTCAAGGTTATGATAAAAAAGAATTTAATTTTGTTTTTCACTTTTATATCAGACTTTTGCCTGATTTCCAGTAAATTTTGATTTTTTTCCCTAATCCTAATAAATGTTCTGCGATTCACTCTAAAAATTATTAGATACTAAAAAAATGCTCGATTAGATTTATTTACAAATTTCTTAAATTTTTAAATAATCGAATTCTTTTCACGAATTTTAATGAAGACTTCTCGATGAAAATTTCTGATGAACTGATTCGATAAGTGACTAGTAGAAACTGATGATGAGGTCCAAATGTAATTTTCAAGTTATATTAAACATAGCAGATGTAAAGTAAATTTTCCAAGTGTTGGTCGAAATGTTCACCTGGGGCTTTTTGACGGAAACGCATTTCCATGATTCGCTCAACGCAAATATGCAAACCAACTTTTCACTCAGTGTGGTCACGAGGAATTTACCCAACTTTATTTTCAACTTGATAGAGTATGCACGAATAGCAGAATAATTAGTGCCCTCACTGAATTGTGAGAAAATGGCCCAAACATTATAAATTAAAATTCAGTTTCTCTCCTTTAATATATTGTGGAATAAGTGTATGTTGACCAC